CTTCATGTAAAAGTACTTTATATGAGATTCGATCATCGATGTACCGATTAAAGATGCATAAGAGAGTCTAGTAAGTAGATGGTACGATGACATGTTGAACAAGTCGAAGCATAAGACTAACGGACCTACGTATGTTAAATAGTAAGAGTGGAAAGCATGACATTGGGATTGAGCCACGCTTGAGTTTTTGGTCGGATCTCGAGCATACGTTCCGGAACCACATATCAAAGACATATGGTGTCGGTGTTGGCTCGTGCGAGCATATGAGGGGGAGCCCATCTCTTTGATTCAAGCACACCGAATATTTGGTAAATTATATTATCCATTGTATTATAAGTTAATTTTATGTTTACTATATCTCATATTATTTTGTCTATTTTTTTCAACATAATAAATTGGGTAGTAACCTAAACCTTTACTAGTTGTTCGTGACCACTCACAAGCAAAAAGATGGGTCATACGTTCGGAACCACATATCAAAGACGTATGGTGTCGGTGTCGGCTCTGTGCAAGCATATCGGGGGAGCCCATCTCTTTGATTTAGCACACCGAACATTTGATAAATTATATTATCCATTGTATTATAAGTTAATTTCGTGTTTATTATATCTCATATTATTTTATCTATTTTTTTCAACATAATAAATTGGGTAGTAACCTAAATCCTTATTAGTTGTTCGTGACCACTCACAAGCGAAAAGATAGGTCATTCGTCGATAGGCGATCCCAAATAATAATGGTAAGTTTTTTATATTTTTAAATATACATCTATCAATATAATTTAAAATTATATTTATGATTTAATATTATAATTATTTCGAGTGACATACAAATACGTGCAATCAATGTAAGAAGAACTACTAAGGAGCGAGCAGTAGGGTGATTCATTGTCTTCAAACATAAACGTGACCAAGATATATTTAGATTTTGTAGGAGAAGAGAAGAAGCATAGAGTATATGACCTTGGATCACAAGCGTTCCGAGCTTTACTTCCATTTTGGCGCTAGCTTCTCCTATACCACTTCGCAATATCCTAGTGGTAATATTCAAGAGTTTTCCACCCAATATAAAGATATGATCAAGGGGGTGGAGTTTACAATCTAAGAACGAGTCGGTTAATTCAACACTCTACAAAGTCAAATGCGAGATAGTGATGGGGTTATTACGGGACTCGCATCAAACTCGTATCTCTCCTACCGACCCTCCCGCAACCTAGGAGTCGGTCGTTCCTCTTAATACCCAACACTCGAAAGATGATGTAAAAGATGAGGAAGACTAAATTTTTTTTTTTTTTAAGGTTTTTAATATTTTTGTACACCTTAACATATTTATATATTTATTTAGTTTCAATTTATATTCATTTAGTTCTTGTACCACTTCACAATATCCTAATAGTAATATTCAAGAGGTTTCCACCCAAGACAAAGATATGATCAAGGGGTGGAGATTACAATCTAAGAACATGTAAGTTAATTCAACACTCTACAAAGTCAAATGCGGATAGTGATGGGGTTATTACAAGACTCGCAACAAACTTGTATCTCTCCTATCGACCCTCCCGCAACCTAAGAGTCGGTCGTTCCTCTCAATACTCAACACTTGAAAGATGATGCAAAAGATGATGAAGACTAAATTTCTTTTTTTTTTAAAGGTTTTTAATATTTTTGTACACCTTAACATATTTATACATTTATTTAGTTTCAATTTATATTATTTTAATTTTATTAAATAATATATTGTGTTTTAATAAGGTATTATTTTTAGTTGTTTGTTACTATCATTAACATAAAACGGTTGTTAATATATATATATATTCTTCATTTAACGACGGATTAGCGACCGAATTAGTGAGAAAAACTAAACCTCTTTGTGACGGATGCATATACGATCGCTAAATAACCAGCGAATTTACAAGAAATTTTAGTGAGTAAGATTTAGCGACATATATTCCGTTGCTAGTTAGCGATGGTTTTGCGACGGATAATAAATCAAGGCCACTATTTACTTCGTTTTAGCAACATAAATTCTATGTAGGAGTGATGGAAAAAAAATCTATCGCTAAGAAAATAACGACGATGACACTTGTTATTAAAAGTATATTATTGCAAATCTGTCACTAAGTCTAAATATCGACAAATATTGATGATATAATGATGAAAAAATTCATTGTTATTTTTTGGTTTTCTTGTAGTAGGGTAAGAATAAAATCCACCTCCGTAGTGAAGATTTGCGACAGTTTTGTCTGACTAATTTGAGGTTTACAGTGGAAGGTTTTGAGCCACAATTGTGCTAACTCTAACGGTACTAAAACAGACGAAGATTATTTTTCTGCCTTTAAAGAAAATTAAAGCTCGAGGTCGAAATCTTTTAAAAGAAAAAGGGAAACAATGCATTCACTTGCTTATTTTGCTGTTTTAAACAAATGAAGTGAAACGCTTGCTTTTTTTTTTTTTTTGTCATTCCCTATCCCTGTTTTTAGGTATTTTTATATTATGAGCAATGCTGTACCAGAGATGCTGTTAAATAGCAAACAATTTAAGCCAATAAGTTAAAATAGCCAACGGGAGTTGGTTTCCAGTATGCCACTGATTGGTTAAAGATCTAACCTAACTGAAACTGAAGATGCACATTACGTTTTGGTCACATGGATTGTTTGTTTGCATTATTAGGGGACAATGCGGTATGGAAGTTGCAATGGGACACCATGCAAAAGTGGCCACTCTTCATTTCGCATTGTTTGTTAAACAGTAGGACACCTACCTTAGGTTTTGGCTATATTGTCATCTCTCTTTATTGGGAGCGTGGAAAAATAGCTTATGGGTCTTTTAAAGAGATTTTTATTCTCGAATTGGAATTTGCAATAGTAACAAGTAGAAATTCCATCTAGCTTAGACTTAGCTTCTCATCAATCAACTCTTTGGAATTATCATTTCACATTTAATAGTTTAAAATTTTCCTTACAAATATGTGTTTGATATGGGAAAAAAAAAAAAGTGTACTTTATTAACAAAAAATTGGTGCAAAAGAAAACCTTCAATCAGTGCTTTCTCTCACATAACACACTCATCATTTTTTCTTGCGTGAATAGGGATCCAAAAAGCCTGTCAAGTCACAGCTATTCTCGAACGAGAATATTATAGAAGCAATAATGTGAGTATGTGTCCACTAAAATAAATGTTGCTATTCTATCCAATACCATTTCCGGTGGATAAAGTTCTTTGCTGGAAGTTGTCAGTTTCTTGCAATAAACCTGCTATTTCCTATCCAAAATCTAGATTACAACTTTCATCTACGAGTATCCATATATACCTACCATATCCACTAAAAAAAGTATTATATAAAAAAGAAATTTCCTACAATAATGAAGATAGAGTGCAATAAAAAATTATATATTACAGAGAATGACAGCAAAGAAATTCAATGCTTGAAGCATTTTAGTATTCTGCATCACAGACTTGAGGAGAATCCGCGACATATATGTTCTTCTGTTTTTCGCCTTTCATTTAAGCAATTCATTACAAATTTATAACATTTTGCAATCAATTATGGGATAAAAATAGACTCTATCTACCAAAAGATGGCACATATTGTGGATAAAATAAGAGACGGACGACTAATAAGATGGTTTGGCAATATACAGCATAGACAAACTGAGACATTGGTTCAACAAAATGACGGGAAAGTATGGAGCAGGAGAAGTAAACATAGAGCCAAGTGGTATTAATTAAGGATATAAAAAACCTCGCATACATTTTCAAATGCACTTGGTTTATAATTGAGCTAAATTGCATAAGAATCCATATCACGGATCTTGATTAGTTTGGGATTGACATTTAGTTGGTTTTTTTTTTTTTTTTTTTTTTTATCAAATCCAAATAAGTTAGAATTTAATATTTTTAATTGAATCGAATTCCCAAATCAAGGGTCTGAATTAAGTTGTAGTACGCACATCGATTATTGATTTTTTTTTTTTTTAATGCCTCATACATACAGCCTGTGGATCTATATCATCACAGAAAATTGAACTTATGACAACCATGTGAATTATTATAGAAGGCCTGTAATCTTTCTAAAAGTATGGCTTTCCAGGCAAGTATTCTCCCGCAGCGAAGACGTTGATTAGTAGCCGGCTGACAAACTAATCCCAGCACCGCTAAAAGAAAGAGGGCATGCTTCTGTCTTTCTTTCCTTTTACACCATCAATTGGGACTTCTTAGTGGTCCTTGGCCATTCCCACAATATCATATTTAAGCTATAGCATTTTGGTCTTGGCTTACAAAAATATATTTTTTTCAAGCGACTAAAGTAGAACGCATCGGATTTCAAATTTCCTCGCCTATATATATATATTGCTGGAGTTCTTGTTAGCAACCTTGATTACTGAAAATAAAGGAAATACAGTACAAAAATCAATATTCTGTGAAAATTTCTCGAGTTAGAGCAGCAGTTTGAAGAAGATGCCATTTCGAGCAATTGTTTTGCTACTACTATTAGTTCCATTGTTTGCCAGCAATTATTCATCTTCAGCAGCAACCATACCAACTTCAGAAGCAACTATGCAAAACTCTCGTACTTTTGTAACTTCGGTGGTTTGATAGGCATTTTCATCCGGGCAAAAGAATACATAAGAGAAAATGTAACTATAAAGGCAAGCAGGAGAATATACGAGAGTGATTCGTCAATCATCCTTAATTTTAGATCGGCTCTTCTAAAAATTGCCATTATTATACATTATTGGGAACCATTTATTCAACTGTGCTACCATTATACCCCTTTTTACACGGTAATTTAATGGCGCTCGGAACAAACAACATTAAATTGAGTGTCAATAAAAAAACAATTCGAAATATTAATAAACTGCATCAATGCTGCTACACCTAATACCAATTTTTGAGCTGCCATAAAAGAGAGGGGGGCGGGTGGCGCTGGTATCTGGGGCATTCAGTATCTAGAATTTTCAAGAGATTGTCACTAAAACTCAGTTTTATATTGGAGATACGATGGCATTAAAACTCCTCAGAAGAAAATATCATCGTCATACAATGGGCCAAGCAGAAGACATTTGCTCTGATGCATGTCGCCTTGACTGCAAACGCAGACCAGAAGTTCCTTGCTAGGTAGTGCAGAGGATTCAATAATTTGCTCCTCAGGGATTCCGGATGAACATAAAACCAGTGCAAACTTATATCGATAAAGCAATTCTGGTGCATGGCATGTGTTAAGCAACCATTAGTAAAACCAGTGCTCATTCAACCTTCTTCCCAGTCTATATCATCATCCTCCTCTCCAGAAGCTGGAACTTCATCATTCAAGTCATTGAACCTGTAACTTTCACTCGTATTGCCTGCAATGTTGGAAATAACAAATAATAAGCAAACTGGTAGAAAGACATCTTTGTAATAATAATAGGAGAGGTGCAGAATAACGGTCATAAGGTGAACACAAATTTCATCACCCTATATTGTTAAAATTTTCTACGTTTGTAAAGCCAAGCAATTTGATTTGGCTCAGTCTGCACAATTTTGGCTTCAGTCAATTATACCATGCTATACCCTAATATGAAGGTCGGTATCTGCTAAAATTATAGGGACAGAAGTCCCTAATCTGTCTACATATGTGCTGGATGCATTATGAAACATATGCATGCATCATGTGTTCTAATAGTAACAAAATATCAGATCATCTTTTCTTGCATTGCTCTGTTGTGTGCAGGTTACAGAGCAGGCTGTTGGCAACTTTCAGAGCAGGCTGTTGGCAACTTTTCTAGTGTGGATCCCAATATCCTGAAGAAGGAACTATTGGCACAATGTAAAGGTTTTGGGAGGATGGAAAACAATTTTCTTGGGAGGTGCAACATTTGATGATTTGGCGCATTTGGATGAAGTATAACTCAAAATTCATTCATCTCTCAGCTACTTTGGGATAAATTTTTTTCTGGGATTCTTTTTTTTCCAGAACGAATAAGTTCATGCTGTAGGAAGGACAAAAAAAAAAAAGCACATTTGGAATCCTCAAGCAAATATTCAGTTTTCTTTTCCAAAACTCGCACTTATTTTCTATTTAATATTTTATTGGTCCTAAGGAGTAATTAGCTTTATTATGTCTTTCCTATTCTAAATAGAATTGGTATTTTCTTATTTAGGAATCTAAGCTCTTGTTGGATTTGGACTACTAGAACTCTATAAAATAAGCATTTAGTCCTTCAATATTTTGGAATGACACTTTATGAATAAAATTCCAGCAATATGCTTTTGATTGTGCGACTCAATCTCCCTTAGGGGTAACTCCTAAGAACCCTAGGTGTGAAGCAAAGCTTTTTCTATTCTCTAGGCGTGACTCCTAAAAACCCTATTAGTGTAACTAATAGTTCTACAATTCCCAACAGAAATCCACTTTAATACAACCCAATACAGCCCTAAACAGCCTCCAAAGTCAGAACCAGAACAACCCTCAAAGCTTTCCTAGAAGTTTTTTTGTTGCATTCTCAATCATGGTGACTTTCAATGAAGACAATGCAAAATTTGAAGCCTTTCAACTAGAAGTTGAAGCAAGCAAGAAATGAAAGGTTGGATGATATTGAAGAAAAAATTGATTCCAAACTAGCAGAAATAGAGGCATCAATCGACTTGTTCTAGGCAAGCAACTTGTTGTCACAACGGCTGATAACTCTTTTCCACAAAATCAAGGTGTTGTGGCTGCCCAGAATACACAACCAGCCACATTGCCCATTCAAAAAAGGGAGCAAATTGACCCACAAGACACTGCTGGTGACAATACAACGAAAGTAGAGGTTGATGTTCCTAATTTCGAAAGGAAGGCAGATCATAAAATATTCAATGATTGGATTAGGTCTATGGAAACCTTCTTTAATTGGTATGATATGTTGGATGAATGGAGTGTAAGGTTTGCCAAGATGAAACTAGAATTTAGTGGTATCGTGTTGAGCAAGACATAGATAGATGGAGACGAGCATCCGTTACTGCTTGGGATGAGATGAAAGCTATACTTGAAGAGAGGTTCTTGCCATCTAGTAATCAACAAAGGATACCTGAGAATGCCTACAATGTAAAGCAAATCAGCTTGTTAAATACTAATTACGTGCTGACTTTTAATGAGTTGGAAGTTTAGAAAACAGAGGGAGGAAAATTTGAAACAACTGCTGCAACAAGGAGAAAATCAGCAACTTCTAGATGCAAAAAGGTTTGTAGAGTTGGCAGCAAAACTGGCACAACAACTTATTCAACCTGAACAGCAATATGGAGAATAAGACTCGCAACCGAAAGGTCTTAAAAAGCAAGCAGCAACGGAAGAGAAGGATGCTGATAGTTTAGATAAACAAAGTCAGCAGCTAAAATTTCCAAATTGGCATAAAAATGAGACAGAAGAACAGGCTTTTGTTGATAAGACAAATCTGGAATTGCTTCCTAAAATGAAGATTCAACAAGAAACAAAGGAATTTCAGGTTGACAATGATGTGGAGAGAGAAAGAGAAGAAAAGGAATTATCTAATCAGTTTATTAGAAAGCCTAAAGAGCTATGTGTTACACTAGATGGAGCAGAACCAAAGGAGAAACATGTTGAGCACAATGTCAATGAGTAAGGATAGCTAGGAGAAAGTGGCATTGGCAACAAGTGGACTCCATTATTCCTGATTTTGATGGTGAAATTGGTAATAAAAATCTCACATGATGCGAAAGCATCCACGTGGAGTTAAGATCGAGAATTTTAAACTGAAATTCTTAGGGGCAGAAACTTTTAGGCCATTCTATCTTTATCTTATGCTATCCTATCCTATCTTATCTTGTGTTTATTAAAGCCCTAGTAATGGATTGGATAATTATTTTTTACTTGAGCTAATTAATTAAAATTAGTCCTCATGGTTATTTTAATAAGTAGCTGAATATGTGGCCATATTTATTAGTTCATTGGATCCTTATGTGTTATGGATCATTATTTATTTAGGATCATTACTTGATGCATCCATGTAAAATATAGATCCATATTTAATTAGACTAATTTAATTAAGTCTTAATTGAGTATGGATTCACATAAATCCAAATCTTTTAATTATAAGTTAGGACCGGCCTAGGAAGGAATTTAACCCAAGCCAAATATGTGTGTCTATTTAAGCAACTGTTAGTCTCTTTTGTCAGAGTTTTTGCTGAATATTATTGAATGAAATTGGAGATTTTCTCTGCATCCTTTGCGTGTTCCTTTGCTTGGATTAATCTGGATTTCCGTGAAGCACATCTTTAGAGTGATCATCTACAGTGGGTTCTTGATCTCCAATTGCTTCAGGTGGACTAGTGACGAACATATCCCGTAAGTGTTGTTAATTTTCTTTGGGGTGGTGGATCTCTATTTCAATGGGAATTGATTAGAACTTGCATTATTTATTTATTTGTTTGGATTGATTGATGATTGAAATTATTGGATACTTTGGGGTTGGGATTTTTGACCTTGAGCTTGAATAAAGGGCTAGGGATTTCTGATTGACTTAAAACTTTGACAATCATATCGTTTAGACCATATTAGGTCATATAAAATTTCATACAAATCTAACAAGAGGAATTCAGGTTTTGCATTGCTCAAAGTTTTTGGGTAAATTTGCTTGTGTTTGTGTGTTTAACTTCTGCAGGGTTTAGGCATCTTCCAATCCAGCATAATAACACCATTGTTACTGTCACCAACAAAGAAGAATTTTTCATTTCTATTTCAAGTGTGTTGCATTGAGGCAAGGATGTCACTGCAAGTTACTTAGTGTTTACTACTTCAACACTTCAAAACTCAAAGTCGAGTTCTCTCCGACCAGGAGAGAATGATGTGGACAACAAAGGAAGCAAAACTTGTGTATTTTTGTAGACAAGGATATTTCCGGAAAATCCAAAAATTTGTCTAAGTGTAGGCTTTATTTTCTATTTAGTATTTTATTAGTCTTGAGGAGTAATTAGTTTTATTAGATTTTTCCTATTTTCTTATTTAGGAATCTAAATCCTTATTGGATTTGGACTACTAGAACTCTATAAATAAGCATGTGGTCTTCCAATATTATGGAATGACAGTTGATGAATAAAATTTCAGCAATTTGCTTGTGTGACTCCTAAGAACCCTAGGTGTGAAGCTTACGTTTTTCTATCGTCAAGATTTGACTCCTAGAAACCCTATTAGTGTGACACTAATAGTTCTACAATTCCCAACAGAAATCCTTTTTAATACAACCCAATACAGCCCTAAACAGCCTCCAAAGTCAAATCCAGAACAGCCCTCAAAGTTGTCCTGCATCAATATCCTTTAGTAGACACGCAAAGAGATCGAAGAAATCTTTAGTATTAGTTGAGTGAGACTCTTGGGTACTTCCAGAGTAGTGCTCCAGCTACCTTGCTCACATAAAAATGAGACTCATTGGTGGTTATCATGGCGAGTCTCACTTTTATGTCAGTGGAGAGATACTACTCCTTAAGTAACTAATAAGTTCTCTTACTTTCTTAACAGAGATTTTTCTTTTTCCTTGAGGAGGACAACTTATCATTCATTCATACTCTATTCTTTTTACTCTTCTTATAGAATTCTTATTCTATCAGAAAAAACAAAATGAATCATGGTATTACCCATGTTATGCAGGGGGCCAGGAAGCCACTTGCTATATGTGCATGCATTAACCATCCTAGTCCTTTAAAGGATTGGAGGGCAGTCCAATTCCAATTATTAGACTTACCTTCAATTGGAGCCTCTTCCCATTCAACGTCATCATCTCCCTCATCCTCCTCGCGTTTAGATTTCACGCCCACTTGACGAATGGAAGATGATTCAGAAAGGCCATTGGAGATGGATGTCTGAGACAACTCTTGCCGATTCTTAGCAGATTCTTCTACTCGACTCTGTTGTTCAAGCAGAGCAGCATAATAAGCTTTAGCATACTCCTCCTGTCATATAATTTGGAAAGAAGAAGCTGAGTTAAAATTATAAGCAGGCACATGAAGAAAAGAGAGTAAAAACCATGTATAACAAATCAAAACACACATGAATATCATATCATTCCAGAGACCTTTATACTGTCATCAGTCTCTCGAGCAGACTTCTTTTCATCTGAGAATTCTACAGCTGCTGAACTGCTATCCATCTTAGCCTCCTGCTTGACCTCTCCACGTTGCTCCTTTGTAAGGTTCATTCCCATCTTGATCATCCACGGCGGTATGACTTTTAGATCTGTACTTTCAGTTTCAGATTTGATATCCTCTTTGCTTTCAACACCAGCAAAGGCGACTTCAACCTGTCAAGATTAGCCATAGATAGCTCGTGAATGATCCAAGCCTGGCAAATGACCAATGCTGGAAGAAACTATGATAAAATGAAAATGTTCATCAAACAAAAAGTCCAAGCAAGAAATAAAAGAAAGAATATTGAAAAAAGAACCCTTACAAAAAATGAAACATTGAAAAGCACCAGATGACAAAAGAAGTTCACTGCTTCAAGTATTAGCATGCTAGCTTTTCTATAAATCATTCTTATAGGAGTCCAGGAGACCAAATCATTATAAAGAGGGAAAAGATTCATAATAGCACAGTACATCTCTACTTGGACCATTTTTCTATAATGAAAGAGAAAAAGAAAACTATTTTTTTGATGGAAAAAAAGATATTATTAGGAAAAGGTAATGTACAAAAAATTATTGAAGAATAAGAAATCCTCCAATCCAAGAAAACAGATTAAAACACATGATCAATCTTGAAGGCCAATCCAAGAAAACAGATTAAAACACATGATCAATCTTGAAGGCCAATCCAAGAAAACAGATTAAAACACATTATCAATCTTGAAGGCAAATAATGGGTACTGAGGCAGTGTCTGCCATGTACGAGTTAAAGAAATCAATGGGACAGAACTTCTCATCAATGACAAAGATGACTACTCTGTATACAAATAACGTGAAGATTCAAACAAAAGGCCCCCAGAATGCATAAGAGGATTCACCAATTTCAAACATTCCTGATACAGCGCTGAAAAGTGGCGACACAGAATATACTCAATATCTTTTTTTATTGTGCACAATATGCATCCTGAGAGAATTAAGAAATACCACATTCAAAGTTAATATTCCATTGTTAACAATTCTAGCCTTGAAAGATTATCCAAAGCTGAATTTTAATATTTAGTAGTTTAAATAGCTTCATAAGGAATCTAATTAATTTCTTATATAGTAGGTTTTCATATTCCTAATGGATTTAAGAGTTTCTATAGTTTAGTTTCCTTAATACTAGAATTTGATTTTTATAGCTGACACCAACTAGTTTGGGACTGAGGCTTTGCTGTTGTTTTTGGTTATTTGCTTTGGTGCCTATATATAGTACTCTGGGCAGAAATTTGAGATAATCAGTTCTCTTAAGTTTTGTCTTTGTTTGTCAATTGGTAATAAATCATAACCTCTTCAAGTCTTTAGCTCTATTTTGAACAATTCTATCAGAACACCACTCAGACCATTATTCCTTATTTGCCACTGCATGCTTGGCTACCATATTAAAAGACAGTAATTAGAATCCTTTCATCCAAATAGAATTTTCACAAGAAGTTTGCATGTGCCACCAAATAAATTTTTAAGAAAACCTATTGCGATAGGCCATAATCAACAAGTTTGGCTGAGAAACAAGGGGATTTCATATGCTATCGAACCATTTACGAGACAACTACGGCTCCTCAAGGTATGAGAAAATACAGTAGGATGCTTTAATCTATTTCCTGTTTCTGCACTCATTGCCCAAACAAAATCACACACCCAAAGCACAACTTTCAACTTCCTTTTTTTCCAAATTATTTCAACAAAATTCTGGAAGATAAAAATCACAGATTGACCATTCAAAGAGTTTAAAATCCCCCCCCCCCCCACCACCACCTTTTTTTTTTTGGAGGATTCCAAATTTGATTTCCATATTCTTTCTATCTGCTTAGAGGATGACCCATTCTCCATTTTGTAGATTGTCAATACATGCACACAAACAATATATAATTTTACTAAGCACCCCTCTTTTACAGTATTAAAATCCCAAACAACATTTAATGATGATTCATGCACACGTGTAGCTGATTGGCATGCATCAAGCAAGAAGCAAAAGGTGTCCCTAACATACATGCAATTTATGAAGATAACTTGACTGTATTTATGAGTGCAGGATGTCATATATTAAATGCTTAGAATCAATTCCAAATTCATGCAAGTGACAACAAATCTTTATTCACACAAACATCTCAAGGACAGAGAGATGATAGCCGGAACTAAGAAAAATGATACCTTTGTCTCCCCAAGAAAGGGCATTGGTGTTCCAGCATACCCTAGTCCTTCAGAATATTTGAAGTCATCATTTGAACTAGGATCACCATTTACCCCATGCCCAGCAGCATTTTCGTGAAGTATCCATGCTTGAAGACTTCCAATTTCAGGAATAGGCAAATCTTTCACTCTGGTAAGTTGATCCATCAATGGCTTAAGTTGTACCTAGACATTAATTTTGTCCACTCAAAACGACAGAAATAGGCTGCATGTATTGCAAATGATGAATAATAAATGCAAGAGGACACAAGTACATTATATTGAAGGCTGGATAGCATCCAGCAAAATGTTCTTAAATTTATGTAATTCTACAAACATGAAAATTGTCCAAGGTTCAAGAATTAAAATATATTCTTATAAATGTGTGAAAATGAAGAAGCTGTCAACTTGAAGGGGGAGAGAAGGAGTTTCTCCCAAAACAAATACACCACTACATCCCCTCACAAACATAAGGAACAATGTCGTACCAGTCCTTCATTATATTTCAAATTTCTTTTATACTTTTTGCCCCTTCTCTCATAAGTTGGCAATACGCACATCAAGATTCCATCAACTCGTATATAGTCAGACTTCAAGACTAACATTGGCCAGCCAAAACACAGCTGGGCAATTTTTTTTTGAATTGACCATTCAAAATCAAAATTATGCACCATATAATAGCACTGAGCATTAAAAACTAATTCTAGTTTACCGAATGCAAAGTGCAAAAGAAATATACAAGAAAAAGAAACCTCAAGGGAAGGAAACTACAAGGGAAAAAAAATGCAAGTCTAAAGAGAAAAAGCCATTAGCTCTCAAACGTAAATAACAGAAACTTTTACGATTACATAGCACTCAACAATGGCTAGCAAGAACATCAAGAGTCAAATCCTCATTGTTGCAGCATGGCAAAATTTTAATAATGAAAAATGTATCAGGCATCTAAATGTTGGAGAAACCCATGAGTGAAAACAAAACCAAAATGCAGAGATAGAAACTGGCTACTTACTTGATTACATAGAGTTTACATTGCCAATACAGAACCAAGAATATGCACAAGTAATAAAATAGCACAACCACAACAAAGAATGGAAGGGATTAGATAGAATCACAGTTGCACAATTCAAAAACCTTCTCGATACAACTCTTTCTACTCTAAAACAAGTTTGGTTAATGATAGCCATTTGACAGGGAAAGAATTACTAGTACACTAAACAAACAGGATAGTTATAATGAATACCTACCTCCAAATTTTGAAGCATGCCTTTCAATTTTTCACGCCTCCGCCTCCTCACATTGTCATCTCCGTCTCCTCCTCCTTCTTGGGCAGCCAACTTGTCACTCTCAGCCACAAGTTCCCCATCGCAATTCTCACAGTGGAAGTATTCATCAACAAGAGAAATCAAGCGCAGAGCATCCAAAGCATTGTATCTGATATGAAGTCGGGAAATACTAAAACTTTAGGGAAAGTATAAAAACGAAAAGGAAAACAAAAAACACTAACAATAGATACCTTCTTCCACAGTTGGGGCATATATACTGTTGAATAGTGTTATTGTTTTCCAATTCGTCCTTGATCATTTTCCTCATGCGGTGCAATCTATACCTAACAACATCATATATCTGGACTCCGAAAATTCGGAACATTCAGTAAAAGTTGTCAATAAAAAAATAAAACGAAAGGTTTGGTTGTTGCAGAGAGAGAAAACCTGTGCATAATCTAGACAACAATAAGAGTGAGTGTGGAGCTTATTTTTTTATCATCCTCTCTAGCAAACCGTTGTTGACCATCAGCAGCAGCATTAGGTTTCTTTGTACTCTTTGCTGTCTAACAAATTTAATTATTGATAAATAATAGTGTATTACAGTAGCATTAGGGAAAAAGGAAAAAGAAAAAAGAAAAACCTCTTTCCTGTGAGCACGGTTGAGGAGTTTTTCTTCCTCAAAGAGGCGGAGAATCCGACGAAGTTGCTTAGTATGTATTTTCAAATCTTTGGCCAAAACTTCTTCGTTAACCCATGTTCGTCTGCATAATAATTAAAAATATCTTCCATCAACCGAAAACAAACAAACAAAACCAAAAAGGAAAACTGGTTTCGATTTCGATTATCAAACCTGGTAAGGGTATCAAGAACGACGACAGCAATGCCTTTGTTATCGCCGCGAGCATTGTTTTTGGACTGACTTTCTCCTTTTGTTGATACATCATCATAAAATGCACGGGCCGCTAGCTTTACAAGCCTATTTCATTTTGATTTCGATTTTATTTGAAATCAAACAGGAGAAGAATAAAGTTATTAGACTTTTGGAAACTGTTTGGTTTGATTGAATTAATCAATTAATTAAAACGAAAAAAAATGTGTACCGATTGAAAGGCTCAACGGTTATCGTCATGTTCATGAATGGATTCTATTTTAATTTCCCGATGTTACAACTCATGTTAACGGAGATTCGATCGCACAGGCTGAGAGAAGGTGGAGAGGAGTTGGTTTGGGCTTCGCCTTTGGAGGACTTCTTTTCTAGTTTAAAATGCCCTCTTAAGTGATTTAACGTGATGGCTATTTTGCTACTACAATCACGTTAATGTTTTTAAGCCGTCGGATTAAATCGACGGCTAACAATTTATTTATTAGCAAAGGAAGAGTAAGCATAACTAATTCTTTATTTTAGAATTTCTAAATCATTATCTGTGTTTAAAATTTTTTTAATATTAAGTGACGGTTTCTGAATTATTAAATAATTCATATTTTTAAATAAATAAAATTTTTCATAAATAATCATAAATAATTTTTTAGAATTTCTAAATCATTATCTGTGTTTAAAATTTTTTTAATATTAAGTGACGGTTTCTGAATTATTAAATAATTCATATTTTTAAATAAATAAAATTTTTCATAAATAATCATAAATAATTTTTTAGGGTCCTGCAAATGTTGAATAACAAAAAATATAACATGAGAGTGTATATATACATATGATGGAAAAGATGGTAAGGATATTAAATTCACATAAAAGGAATTAAGAAATCCATATAACTCAATTTAGCAACATGACTTTACCATATACAATTACTTAATTTCTCGGTAGCAAATTTTGAAGCACCTAAACTCTAATTTATGTAAAGAAGGACATGTATTTATGTAATTGGAGTTGAGATGGTGTACTTGAGAGGATTGGACTTTGACCATACATGAGTTTTCAAATACATATTTACAATTTTTTTACGTATCAACATTTATCTTTAGTATGTATTAGTTTTTTACCAACGTTACGCTACAAGTTAGCTAAAATATATAAAATCATTTAGAGAAATTATTTTAGTTTGATAGTTTGTTTTATATTACGAATCTATAAAAATATATAAAATCAAAGGTAAAAAAAATTATTTATAATTTTTTAATAAAAAAATTTGTATTTAACTATTTCTTATTTGTGTTTTTTTATGATTTTTCCTTTAGAAAAAAATTTATCCTTGTTCATCCATGGATTATTAACTAAAAAAATTAAATAATTTTTTTTTAAAAAAAAGCTTTAGTATTTCATAAGATTGTGTAAAAAAACATAAATAAAATTTATTAAAAGCTTACATAGAATTGAACAATTTTTTTTATTTAATGTTGATGAGAATATCGGTTTTTAAAAAAATATGAATTTAATTTATACATATTTATTTACAAAAGAATGAATAATAATAAAATAAAAATTATATTAATTTGAATCATTGAGTAGTTAAGCCAAAAAATTCTTTTAATTATTTCATTCAAAAATAAATAAATAAATAGTAAATGCTTAATGTAGTAATAGTTGCACGAGTAATTTCTAAAAAAAACAATGATTCAATATTTTTTATACATCATAAATATACTAAGTGAGCTCGTAGTTTTCGAGTCTAAAACAAAAAATACCATAAAAAAAAAAAAAACAAGAAGAAGTTAACTTGCAAGGAATTTATTGACCAAATTTGAAGTTAATAGACTAAAATAAAAATTATTAGAAATTTGATTTCAATTAGTTTTGATTATATAAAGAAGAAACAAATTAATAAAACCTATGAATTATTTTTCTTTTTTCTTTTTCCTCCTTCTTAAATATTTTTTTTATTTCTATGCTATGCATGGCTAGTTCTTAAACAAAGGCTTCACACACAGAGCAACCATCTTCTTTTTATTTTTCACATTTGACTTTCAACTATTAATTAATTAATCTGATTTTCTTTCGAACAAAAAACCAACAAAAAAATATTTGAAATACACTTTTAATCTAAAAATATATTTTAGACAAATTATACATACTAATCATGCCACTATAATTTAAAAGTTATCTAAATCTATTTTTCAAAAGAAAAAAATAATCATGTCCTAAAAATTTATTCCAAAATCCATAAATATAGAAAAATAACTCAAAAATATCAGTAAATATAATTTTAAATTAATTGGATGAGAATTTAAAAAAAAATTACAAATTACAGTAGTAAAATTTAAATAATTAAAAAAATAATAAAATAAAATGGGACCAAATCACAATATAATCAAATTTTGAAATCGAAAAAAAAAAAGAATTTAAAAAAAAATGACAAATTAATATAGTAAATTTTAAATAATATAAAAAACGAGAAAAAATTATTTGAAAAGCACTCTTAATCTAAAAAGTATTTCAGATAAATCATACATATTAATCATGCCACTATAATTTAAAAATGATCTAAATCTATTTTTTCAAAAAATAATAATCATATTCTAAAAATTTATTTCAAAATCCATATATATAGAAAAATAAATCAAAATTGTCGAGTAAATAAAATCTTAAATTAATTAGATGAGAATTTAAAAAAAAATGATGAATTAAAGTAGTAAATTTTAAATAATAAAAATAATTAACAAAAAATACTAAAACAAAATGGGATCAAATCACAATATAATCAAAGTTTGAAATTGAAAAAAAAAGAGAGAGAGAGTTTTTAAAAAAATGACAAATTAATGTAGTACATTTAAAATACTATAAAAAAATCGAGTAAAAATTATTTGAAATACACTTTTAATCTAAAAATGTATTTCAAACAAATTATATATATTAATCATGCCACTATAATTTAAAAATTATATAAATCTATTTTTCAAAAGAAAAAATAATCATGTTCTAAAAATTTATTTCAAAATCCATACATATAGAAAAATAAATCAAAATTGTCGGTAAATATAATTTTAAATCAATTGGATGAGAATTTTAAAAAATGATAAATTGAAGTAGTAAATTTTAAATAATAAAAATAATTAACAAAAAATACTAAAATAAAATGGGACCAAATCACAATATAATTAAAGTTTGAAATTGAAAAAAAAAAAAAGAGAATTTAAAAAAAAATGACAAATTAAAGTAGTGAATTTTAAATAATAAAAATAATTAAAACAAAATACTAAAACAAAATGAGACCAAATCACAATACAATTAAAGTTTGAATTAAAAAAAATATAAAAAAATTGAGGACCAAAGTGGTACAAAAATGACATGAATAATGAAATTAATAGTGATTTGTGAGTATGTGAATAGTATTTTAAATGGTGAAAATGAAGAGTAAAATTATATTTTATTTTGATTTTTTTTTATTATCTTAAAAAACCACTTTACGAATTTTGAAATACCTAAACTCTAATTTATGTAAAGAATGACAAGTATTTATGTAATTGAAGTTGAACGAGTGTATTTGAGAGGATTAGAGTTTGAGTATGGGTGTTTAAATACATATGTACAACTTTTTAATACCAAATTTTATTTTCAATATACGTCTTGAAGATAAGTTACCACACGAGTTTTGGGTACACAAACTTTAAAGTGTTGTTTGGTAATCGAGAATAGAGTGATGAGAACGAAAATGGAAGTTTTATTCTCATATTGTAGTCGTTTAGTTAAAATAAATAAAGTGGGAATGAAAATGAAAAGTGAAAATGGGAATGAAATTTTATACATAACATTATTCCCACATAAGATGTGGGAATGAAAATTAAGGAATGAGAATGAATTTTTTTTTCAAAATAATAATATATTTTATTTATTCATTATCTATTAACTACTTTTATTACAGCCACAACTACACCACCACCACCACTATCACAACCACCATCACCATTGTCATAAGCATTACCACCACTACCATTATCTTTATTATTTTTACAATTATTATAGTTTGATAAAATTATTTTGTAGTCATTATTTTTATTTATATAAAAAATTAAATATTAAACAATTTAAATTGCATTTCGATTCTCCGTTAGCATTCCAAACACAATATGAAAATACAAATACCATTTCAATTTTTTAATTTTTATTTTAATTTTCGTATTTCTATTCCGGATCTTTAATTTCCTATAACCAAATGACACCTAAGTAGATAGCCAACTAATTCTCCGTATTCAACCAATAAGCTAATATCAAAACTCGTTTTCTCTTTTTGGGTGAAAGATTATTGATTTTCCATGTACATGAACTCTTTGATGGTACTAATTTTCATATACATGAACTATATATGAATTTCATAAATAAAGTATTTACGATAATTAGTGTGTCAGTACGAGTTTTGAAGGGCTCTCGTACAACCTTTCAAGCACTCTACATTTCCTATGCTATTTTTTTAGGCGGGAACTTTGTCGCCAGTGTGTAAGGGTATTACCGTACTTTCTTGGTACATATACAATGTTAAAACATGGCAATAAACCCGTCAACTAGTTGCAAAAAAACTCTTTAAGACACGTGTCACAATTTAACACTAACGTGGTTGCAATATACAATCACGTAACATATACAAATTTGGCCTTGATGATTTATTTAAGATTCAAACGACTAATAACTTAATTTTACTATACATAAATTGGCTTAAAATATCTTTGTAGTTAAGAACTTAAAAAAATTTATACGTACATAGACATATATATATATTGCCTTGATGAGGTTTTTTTCTTTTTACCAAACTTTTTTGCACGCAAGTAGGTACATGGTTTCATTTATTTGGTTTTCTCAGGAGATTTTGGTTTTCAGACAGTGATTACAGGAGCATAGGATTGACAAACATAGGGAGCCTGTAGATTATGTTCTTAAGATTCAGAAGCCAATTTTATAATTGCTTGAAACTAGCTAGCTATTAATTCATGAACTTCAAGCACTTTTTTTTTAAAAAAAATATTAATAATTTGAAAACATCACATGCATGCAACCACATAAATGGATGGATCATAGCCTAACTAGGATTACAAATGGATAGTGGTGAAGACACGCACATATAAATATTAACAGATTGTCTCCAGTTGCTAATTAAGATACTTTACACAATTTGCTAATTGACTGAATTCATACTGCAGAGTGAAGCTCCTTCAATGCCTTCCATTTGTGTAAAACTTTGCAGAAAGCATCATGGAACGTAATCTCAGCTTCACTGTTGGTCAATTGCACTGACATGAAACCTTGACCATCATATAAGAATTTCAAATCATCCCCATTATAGTGTTCACTATCCAGGTCTCCCCTCCATGCCTTTGAATCTGCGCCACTTGTTAGGTATTGGATTGGACTGCATTTAGAAAATATATATACATACACACATCAGATGAAAGGGAGTTTCACATTAGAAAATATTTTCAATATGTTAGAGGGTATTTGCCCATCTTACCTATCAAGGCTGCTAATGTGTTCTAGGCAGTGGTCGTGCCCATTCATGTACATATCAACATTGTATGCCTACATATTCACACCAGGCTCAAGCATACTAGTACAAGTACATATCAACAATATATTCAAGCTTGTTATAGGGGAGTGTTTAATTTTACAGTAGCTTTTCCAGAAGGATGTTCTTTGTTTAACATTAACTGCTGGCCATTTACCTTCAACATTGGCAGAAGTAGATCATTGAGCTCCTTGGTGTCTCCATGGTACCCAGCACTTTTGATTGCGTGGTGACCAACAACAATTTTCCACTTTGCGGTTGATTCGCTCAATGCAGATTCCAAATCCTAGTGACCATTGGAATTTATAAGGATTATTAATCTGAAAGGAATTGTCCTCAAAATACTTGTACACTACTGGTAATTAGTGGGATATAAATTAAAGCTGCTATTTGTTTACCTTAAGAAGGCTAGCAAGGTATGCTTTTCGGGGAGTCACACCTCGCCAATCGTAAGTATGCTCTTCGTCAGTGAAATACATGTCGACAAATGGAGTGGTGTCGACGAAAAAGAACTCCGCAATTTCTAGTGAATTATGAGCCAAATTAATGAGATCAGAAAACAAATTTTGATACTGAAATAAATGGAGGTCTGGATGTCAATGACAATGTACCTGCATTAAGGATGAAAGATCTAAGACAAAGCCATCTACTATCAACCTTCCTAAGCGCAGGGTGCACTTGCGCCTCTACATCACCTCTGTAGTCATGATTTCCCAATACTGCCCAAAAAAAAAAAAAACGGAGGAAGTACTATTTGAGATTCTATAATCATATCCCAGAACCTGCTAAATAAATGTATGATTGATTCATTTGATGGAGAGAGAGGAGATTTGGATATGGACTGAAGACTTACCGCTGTACCATTGTTTCTGCAGGCTCTTAGCAGTATAAACTTTGGTAAATGACTCTTCAAATGCTTGATCATTTAGATCAGTTAATCCATTATCATAGAAATGATCTCCGGTTGAGACAACAAAATCTATGTCTAGCTTCTCCCCAATTTTTCCCATCTGTAGTGTATACCAACAGAAACTAGCCTCGTTGGGAAATAATATAAATCAATAACATGGTAGATAATATATCAAGATTTATGTCCTTTCTTTTCCTCCTTCTGTTAAACACTAAAGTTTTAAAATTGGGAATTGCCATTTGGTGGTACTTTTGGCATAGATTTTTTGGTTTCAATTTACCATTATTCAACTGCAAGTAATTGTATTCGCTATCTAGTGCTTCCTACTTTTTGGATGTTCTGGACATTAAAATGCTTCCGTTGACAATCTGGGGTACTGTCACATGTGTAAAAACAAAGCCAGGCAGGTATAGGACATAAAAACAAGGTCAGGTCAGAAGCAGAGAGGTTTCAGACCTGATAAGCAACAAGAGACTGGTTGTAGAAGCCCCTTCTCCCCCAGTCTCCTACCACCAAAAAGCTAAGCGATCCATCACCTTTAGCCGGGTGTTCAAACCTTTCAAGCTCTGCAAAACTAGGAGTGACTAAAGATGTGCAAAACAATAGTGCCAAACCAATGCATGGAGCCAGTGATTTTGATTGAAAGCCATGGCTATGTAGAATCTTAATTAAAAGAGATAAGGTTGCATAAAAGACTTGGAAAGGCAAAATATGCAACAAGTCCAACAAGTCCAACACTTGACAGTTAAATAGCTTGAAGATACGCTCTATTTCTGCCCTGGAGAATAAATAGCTGGAAGACCATGTTTCAAGGATACAAATGAGGATGGGCATATCTGTGGAATATGTGGAGATATTTACATCATTTTATATCTGCCATTAAATTCATGGTAGTTTAGAAATTCTTTTTAGCTCACTTAAAAAAGAAAGAAAGAAAAAGAATGGACAACATCCAGAGCAGATTTTTTTTTTTTTAAAAAAAAATCTGAGCTAAATTAAGGAAACTAACCTACCTTTTAATGAAAAAGGATCTAGTATTTTGAAAACAATATATTTCTGGTTTGGTTCAACATGGAAAACTTCATCAAAAGCAAGGGAAAGAAATATCAATTTCATTTGAGATTTATCCCCATCGTGCAAAACAAAGTTGTATTCAACTCCCACTCACCTATCCGTATTGAATCATGCTTAATACTGATAGGGTTATTTTGGCGATTTGACAGCCTAAACAGCATGTGATCATTTTCCATTCATTCAAGTCCCATTCTTTTATTTGCGAAGTCAAAGCCTCCAAGTAAACTCTCTGAAAATTAACCAAATATCAACAGGCCTTTGCAATCATCCACCTTTCTTCTCCTTTTTTGAGCAATCAAGATAACTTGCTTGGAATTATGTTCATGAAATTAAGATTCTTAAAGAGCTGTATTAATATGACCACTCAATGTAAATCTTAAAAGCGTAGGTATTTTTTGCATGGCTTGCTAATCAAAGCTAATATTTGATCTTAACTTGGCTAGCTTGTGCAAAAGAACCTGAAATCGAATTCTGAATAATTGGAACTCCAAGGATATGAATAATATCATCCAATGATCCAAACATTCAGCCTTATTGGAAAATTAGCATTTCCTCTGTATTCTTAGTTCTTATGATTTCACGAAGCATGCTGAGTCCATGGATCATTTATCAAATGGATAATGTTATTCCTGCTATACAAGTAGCATTCTCAAACAATATTAATACAGTACAGCTAAATCAACATCATAACCCATTGTTTTGACATAAAGAAGCAAACAATCACCAAAAAAAAAAAAAACAACAAGAAGACAAAAGCTTTTGTGTGGTTGATGTAGTGAGTTTTATAATTGACCAGCCTGGCAGTTCTTTTCAACTTCACACCGCTTTCTGTTCCGACTTCGACGTCAAGGAAACAGTATGCCATGTTCTCTATCATAGTCGGCAATTTCTGGCCTTTGTGGTTTGTCAAACTACTAGACAGGAACCCACATAGTAGATAACGCAATGCCACATAAGATATCTAGAACTAGAACTGAGAGGCTAAGAGGGAAAGAAGGAAGGCCCTGTAGTGACCTGATGTATCTGAATGAACAACCTCAGGTAATGGTCTTCTGTACTTCTTCAAGTACTCTGCCATGATCTTCTGCAAATCAATCTCAGCCCTCGTAACCAATATCCTGATAAGAGTACTATCATCTGTGCCCAAACCTTTCATTGCCTTGTGCAACACCTGTAAAGCTATGCAAATTAGACTAATTGTTGACAAATTCAGTTGTTGACTACCTCACTTAAATTTCAAATTGGGTTAATAGATTATAAATGATACATCTAGGTTAATCAGTGTAATCTAGTTTAATTGGAAAATGGCTGGAAGATACCGTTGCATAGTGATTTGTTGGATCCACAGCATGTTGCAAAATTGTTAGAAGGGCATACTTGAAATTCCCTGACGTTTCTCTTTTAATTGTCTGCAGCAAGCATGTTGGGATAGTGTAAATACCAATGTACCATATACGAAGGATATGGAAGGAAGGGCAGATAAATTACAACGCACGCAGATGAAAATGTACCTCTCTCAATTCTTTTCTAAACATTTTATGGTAAGCAGAAGAAAGGGCAATCAAATGTGCCGTGCTTCTTTCAGTGAAAATCTGAATGAAAGTACTCTCATCCATTCCAGATTTCTTCACCCCAATTTTACTGATAGCATTAGCATCATCCTCTACTAACAGTCTATCAATTTCTGGGCCATCGTATCGTGTTGTGTCTATATATGCCAGCAGAAACTATTAAGAGGAAAAAAACAAAAAATAGAGAATCAAATCACTATAAATTTTGAAAATTGAAAATCCCAATAGGGATACATATCTATGAAAGAACTGCTAACTACGCTGTTGGAGAGAGTGCATCTGAAGCAGTAGCTTATAAAGAATATTTTCGAAGGCAGCTTATACTCACGATGCACACAATGGATAGGATCTGGAATTCTGGATGGTTACAAACTACATGAAAGAACTAGACACGATACTTCATTTCCTACCTAATTAGCACACAAACTTTATAGCCTGTTTTTAATCCCAATCTCATGATTTCATCAACAGTGAGGTTAAAGCCCTCCAGTCATTTCAGACAACAGAAGATGCAAAAGAAACATGCATGTATAACTTGTATCTCGTTCATGCTTTCTCCAGACTTCAATTTCCCCATACTTTGCTGTCTTTTACTGACAACTATGCCAATGAATTTAAAGATAGAACCTCAGTAGTTACAGTAGAGACTCTTATCAGGACAAGACAAACAGCTTTGATATCATTTCAGGCAAATATTTATAAGTTACAAGCAGGAAAAGGATAATGTGACGTATAAAATTCTTATGCTGTAGAATTAGAGAAAGAGAGGGGGGAGGACCTTTCTATGATCACCAGATGTGTGACAATCAATATCATACTCAAGTCGCGTACCAAAAGAAGGAGTGTAAATTTGTTTAATCTGTCGAATATGGGAGGAAGTGCGGGTACTTATTATTTCAGTGGCCGCTTTGATATCAATGACAGGTCCAGTCAAAGCCTGTCTCAATGTTGTAACATCCCGTTCTATTGGACTTTGCATCCATAGTAAAACTGCTTTCTGAAAATTGAAGATGGATCAGGATCTCCTTAATTCAATAGGATTGGCTAGGCATGAGGTATATAGGTATACAATAACAGAGATCAGAAAAATTGCAAAAATGTGAACAGAAACTTCAAAGTTTCTGTCCTATAAGTACGTACGGACCTTGAGATGGCCATGAAGCTGGTGAGCCAATTGTTTTTTGAGGTCATCAGAGAACAAGGTCTCGTATTCTTGTTGAATGCTGTCACGTTGAGATGCATTTCTATTTGCAAGAATATTGACAACTACTGCTGTATCACAACCTAATCCTGATTATAAAGATAATAAAAAAAGGTCAAGGCAATGCCATTTATGTTTTCCAACATTGTAGCTAATTGAGATCACGGAGAGAGATTAATCAAGATATCAAGAAGCTATAGCTAGCCATGATATGCAATAAAAACTAAAAAATTACTAATAAGAAATCAACAAAAGGAAAAGAAATATTATTAGGGAGCAGAAACCTTTGAAAGCTCGGTTTAGTTGCACGGCATCATCACGTGACGATGTCTCCATTGAAGGTTTTGTCGAGGTTGAAATCTCTCTTTTTCCAGAGCTTGTCATTTGAATATAGAAATTATTGAGTCAACAATGGCGTTTTTGTTTTATGGAAGAAGAACGTCAAAATATACGGTGGAACAAAAAGTCTTGTGCAGAAGAATTTGGACGAACAAATGGGAGATCACATAATAAGAAGCAAATTAATGACTAGCTCATTCCAAAAAACAGAAGCCAACTCATTATCATCTGTTAATTAAATTAAGCATAAGGCAATTAGAGGTCAATTTTTTTTTTTTTTTGGTAACACGCACAAGATAAAAAGAAGATAATTTTAGCTAATTACATCATTACGAAAGAGGTTAAACTATGTATATAAATGTTTCTTGCGATATTACAAAAATTACATTCACAACAACCCGGAGATTTTAGTACACACGAGCTGAATACTCATGCTACGTCATGGTCGGACAATCATATATGCAAGATAAATAATTTATATGGTGTAGTACGGATAAAAATCTTATTTTTTATAATTAATGTAAATCAAATATACTTGTTGAGCAAAATTTTTTAGTTTATTATTATTATTATTATTATTATTATTATTATTATTATATATATATATACACAAAATAATCAATAATATTAGTATAAAAAGTTGAATTTAAATAATTGAAAAGTTCTTCCCAAATATTATTTCAATTATTTTATTTAAAAAATATTGATTTTATAACATAAAAAAGAATACATAACAAATAACCGAGGTTATACATGCAAATACATTATTAATTTATAACAAAACTAATTATATATATTTCAATTATTTTATTAAAAAATATTAATTTTAGAATGTAAAAAAGAATAAATTATAAATAATTAGTGTTATGTATGTGGATACAAAATTAATTTCTAACAAAACTAATTATATGTGTGTGTGTGTGTCCGTTTCTAACAAAACTAATTATGTGTGTGTGTGTGTGTGTGTGTATGTGTGTTGTTTTTCATATTTTTACTTTTTTTATTCTTTTTCTATTTTTTAAAACAAAAGATAGAACAATTGATATAGAAAAAAGGACAAAAAAAATAGTTTTTGAACCAAATGGACTAATTGTGTTATGTATGCAGATACATAATTAATTTTTAATAAAATTATATATATTATGATCATATTTAATAGATTCGAGTATAGAGTATAAATAATTTTAAAAAAAATAATATAAGTTTTATGAAAAATATTAAATTTAATAGATTAAAATAAAAACTACACAAAATTGATTCTCATAAAACTTACTTCTTAATTTACGATGAAAGAGATACTTAAATTATAAATTAATTCAGCTAATTCTGAAAAATGAATTTTCAACTCTGATAAACTGTAATTTGTAAAAATAAATACAGTGCATTACAAACACATGCTAAATTTCTCTCATAAAACGTGCAAATCACTCAGCAATATGGAATCACACATACGATGTCACTTTTCTAATTTTGACGGAGGCAATATATCCAACAATACCAACTTTTCAACTGAATTAATCAGTAAGAATTAAGACAATAGTGGTTTAATAATAACACAAACCAGTAGCCCCCACCACTCCTGATGTTTGGTCATGCTCCACAGACATTTAAAAAAAAATATTGCAAGAAACAGACATTGAAGTTTTGAGTCATTAATTATCCACTCATGCACGTAATGCATGCTAATTGGTCTCCATCCCTTCTAAACAAAAGTACTCTAAGCTGCAGTTACTGTTTAAATCAATAGTAAATGAAAAAATCCAAAAACAAAAAAAAAAACTAAGCAGCAGTTATTCTTCAAATAAACAGTACAAAACACTGTTGTTCTTTTATCCCAGATCTTCTAGTGTTATAGTAAATGCATTCATGGGAGATGCCATGGAATGACAATAGGTCGGGTGGTAGCCTTTCCACCTTGACCAAGTTATTTTTTATTTTTTGAAAATTATTATTGTGTAACCTACAATCCTACACCTAACAAAGAGGAACTAGCATTCGCATTCATTTCCTTATAGAACTAACTATGCTGCAGATATGATAGAAAAAAAATCATTTTAAATTTTTAAATTTTTTAATTAATTAATTTTTTAATTTTTTTTTATAAATTTTCTGTTTATAGATTGATTTTAAAATAAAAAATATAATAATTTTACCTAAAATATTAATTAAGAATTAAAAAACTTTAAAAATATAATTTTTATAATATTGTATTTCAAAAAATAAATGTATAATTAATGGACGAGACTTTTATAAAAATTAACAAATGAAAAAAATTTCTTACTTAATGCTAATGAAAAGATTTATTTTTGAAATAATTCGTGCAATGCTACTGATAGATAGAACAAAATCATTTAAAATTTTTAAAATTTTAAATTCTTTTTTATTTAAGTATTACAATTTTTTTCAGTTTTTCATAAATTTTTTGCTTAAAAAAATAATTTATTCTTTTTTATTCAAGAATTCTTAAATAAAAACTTATAATAATTTAAACCTAAAATATTAATTAAGAATTCAAAAGCAAATACTTTAAAATTACTTTTTTTATAAGAATATACCCAAAAAATAAAGTCACAATTAATGTATAGACTTGCATAAAAATTAAATATGAAAAAATAAAAATTTATTCTTATTTAATTTTGGTGAGAAGATTATTTTTTAAAATATATGCATTAGATCTATATATATTTATTTACTAAATAATCAACAAAATTAGCATAAAAAGCTATATTTGAATAATTGGTTGGTTCCTTTAAAAAATTAATTTAATTATTTTTTTACAAATAAATTGGTTCTATAATGTTAAAAAAAATATTCATAGTAAATAATTTGTACTATGCTAGAAGATGTATAGATAATTTTTAATAAAATCAATTATTCAATATTTTTTTTTATATGCCTTGACCATAAATAATGAACTGAGATAAATTATTTAAAATATAATTTTAAACTTTTAGAATAAAATAATTATATATTTATATATGCGCAACTATTATTTAAAAATTCTAAGAATTCATAATACATATTATACCAATTTATTTTTTAAAAATAAAAGGAAATTATGTTTTAAAATTTTATTCTAAAATTCAAACATAGAGAAAAATAAATTATATTTATCAATAAGTAAAATCTTATATAAAAAAATATTAATTAGATGAGAATTTTCATAAAAAAAAATGATAAATCTAAATAATGAAATTTAAATTATAAGAATAATATAAGTCGACGTATATGTTAATTTTAAAATATTAAAAGATAACACACACACAATATATGTTAATTTAAAATATATATATATATTGAAGTTAAAAAAATATGATATGTTTTTTTTATGTATTTATTCTTAAATAAAACTCATAATAAACAAATTTTAATATAAAATTTTAAAAAATCAAACTCATGATATTGAATTTGAATATATATATATATGGTCATGTTGTAAAACACGGTTGATAAGGACCACAAATTAAAAGTTATTTGCCTCTCTCTTGGCAATGCAAACTGGTTTATTTTACTACAACTTGTAGGGATCGATGATGAAGCACTACTTCTTACCAGCTCAAAAGTTCTCCGTCTTGGAATCTTATCCACAATATGCCGAATGTAAGAAATTAATCTAAGGAAGTTTTGTCATCAAGCATCTATACTGTTGTGATCTTCACAAATTAGTAACATTTGAGGTATTCCATACTAGTCCTAAAAAGTAGAATATATATTTATATGTGGAGAATCTATTTACTTTTTCAGATGACTGGACCAAGAGTCACCATCATCTTTACGATACATCCCTAAAATTCGTGCGATATTATTTCTTGTTCAACAACCACACAATTATATAGAATGGTCATCGGACGAAAGGCACCCATGATATCTTTTAACCCACTGGGAGTTTTAAACCCTATTTTCTTAAATCATGACCGTGAATATATTACATATTCTATCTCAAAAAAAATAAAAATAAAAAAATAAAGTTAGAAACAGATAATGAATCATGCCCACACAAGTTTATCCATCTGAACTACCCTCTACTTGTTGTCCATTAATTGTTCTTTGTGTACATTTCAATCTTGTTTTCTTTAAACTTATATCTTAATTTAAGTACATAGTTAGTTAGATTAGCGAATCAAATTTGATTCTAAGACTTCGCCAATCATTGGAAGTTGAGTTCAATTAACTAAGCATCTAGTCAAACGAATACATGGGGTTAGTTAGCATACAAACTCCCCAATTGGGAGTCTAATTTAGAGGATAATTAATTGCTTAATTATATTTTTCTTACAAAAATTTCTTAATAAATGTAGACCAAAACATACATTGAATTTATATTAATCCAAAGAAATGAAAGGATGACCAGGACAACCTCTGATCTCTTATACAATCACAAATCTGAAAACAAACAGTACGTACTATACACTCATCAGCAGATTCAGACCAACTAATAGAAGGTTCTAAACCTTTTTATCTGCTTTCTATATTATACAATATAATATAGATCATACTACTTTCGCTTATACATGTATACATATATGTGTACGTATGTGGTTACTAAATCAGTGTATCTTTTTACAATTCGAAGCCTTGATCTGCCGTTTCATAGAAATTTATCGGATGATAGCATCCTGATCAAATGTGGGTGTCATTGGATCAAACCTCTCTGATAGGAAGAATTTTTGAAGTCCTTTTAATGTGCTTGAAACCTGAACTTCTGCAGTAAATATTGCCTTGACTGGTCTATGATCAGACAAGTTTGATTCTCCTCTAGTATACAAATGTTGCTTTAGTCCCTCTCCGTACCAAATGATCCGATCGCACCTGTATTAATTAAGGACAGAAATGTAAGAACAACAAAGTTTAATAAGATTTCTAATTCCATTTAAATGATTGTGGAACGTCTCTCTGTAAATAAGCTTTTAATTAGAAGTCTAATTTGTTGATAAATTAATAATTACCATGCTGGGGAGCGCCACTTTCCACCTTTTTGGCCTTTAACACATCCAAAATATACATTTGAATTCAGGCAATATTTGTAAGTAGGAGCAAATTTGATAATTCCTTCATGCCAACCTTCGAATACTTGACCATCCATGAGCTCCTTCCCTAACTTTATTAATTTCCGTGAAAACAAAGGATTTCAAATCTTAGATTAATATATATATATATATGGTAAAAAAAAATGCAATTAAAGCTTTTAAATATGTTTGATTTATATACTTTGTATGTCTGTATATATACCTGATCATTGTCTAGCAAGGCATGCCATTCTTTTTTATCCACCAATGATCGAGTCGTTGCTTCTGGTAGAGAAATTCTATAGTTCAAATCTCCAAGCAAAATTACCCGGCTGCACAAAATGAGGAAAAAATAGCTGACATCACTAAGATATGCTCTAATATCACATTAATCTAATAAAGTAGCTCTTACAGGCTTAAAGAAAAATTTTAACTTCAATTAGAAAGTCAACTATGCTCTAAGAAAAGGCTAATCTACGTACAAACAATACAAAGATGGTTTACGTACCGGCGTAGAAATCAACCCTCTAGTATATATATTTAGCTACCTGCTATACGGAGCCCACTTCTTCATTTTTTTTACGTTTTTCATATACTTTGGCAACAACCGAAATTTTTAAAAATACAGTACACAGAGAGCCATTCACATAATATATAATTAAAGAATTAGTGGTTTTATAATTTTGACAGCATGTTACTTAAGCCCAAAATTACGACAAATTCAAAGTTGGAAACTAGCAATAATGGTGCTGTTTAAACAATTAATCTATTGTTTATCAATTTCCCATTTTCTTGGCTAGTAGTGAGACCAAAACCATTTTATAATTTGTCGAATAATTAATCATTGATTAAGCAGATGAAATATACAGGAACGATCTACATATAATTAACGAATTGGTTTGGACGGTTTCAGCAAATCTAAAAACTAATTCACGTACTCATGATATAGAATCTTTCGCGGCAAATCAAGCGAAGGGCCCACAGGGAAGCTTGTTCGGGAAATTATTTCGGCTAAGTTAGAGTTTCTATGTTTTTCATCACCCTCTCTACCTCCTGAAGCTAGATGACTGCACACAAAGCAGAAGCTTGTTTCATGTAACAGAAATCTAACGGACACAGATCCCTGCAAAGTCATGTTTTAGAGAGGAAAAAGAAATATAAGATACTCTAGAAAGTTGGATGATGTACTAATTAATGATGTTAGCATTGTTAATTACCTCAATTAAAATTTGAAATCAAATTAGAAAAGAAAAATAATTAAAGTTCGTTATATGCAATAATTACCTTCATCAATTAATCTGAGTAAACATGCATAATTAAGATATATAAATACTACGTACCTTGTTTCCTAGGCAACCCATGATGCCACAGCCTACACAAGAAACACTAGGATGCCGGACATAAGGACGGAGATCACTTCGAATCCAAACTGATATTAATATCCCGACCATCTGCTTACTAATGACACACCGGAAGTCTTCAGGAATGCTGCTTTCGAATATTGCCTTTTCATCTTCAATAAAAGAGGTTTTCTGCTTTCTTCTTTGTTTAATATTATCGTATTGCCGTTTTTCTAGGCAATACTGGATCTTCTTGTTCAATGCTTCTCTAAGCAATGAATTCCATTTCTTTGAAATCTTACTATTCTCAGAACCTAGAACATTTGATGCTCTTAGAGGTACAATTTCTTGAAACCTGTTGAAAGAATAATTAAAAAAAAAAGTCATATGAATATTAAATATTAAAAGTTGCCGATTTGCAAAACTTCAACTACTTTTGTAAAAAAATTATACTATTTACCCAAAAACGTATATGTCGCAGATATTATTGGGAGTATCTAGCCAATCGGCAATGTCCAAATCTTCCCGTGGTGCAATCCCCCCAACATTCCATGTGCTGACGAAAACCCTTAATTTACAATCAAAGAAATAAAAAAGATAAGATTTAAGAATCAAGTTAACTCTCTCTCTATATATATATATTAATTTCAAAAATGATAGAGATTATAAGATGTTTGCTTCGTTACTTGTAGTTTCCGAAGTTGTGCTGATTGAGGATGCTGTTATCGCTCAAAGATCGTCGACCTAAGGTTGAAATATCCAGCAAGCTGCTGGCTTCTTCGACGTTGCTTGGAAAATCTGCCACGAAGTTGTTGCTCCCCAATCTCTTTCCAAGGATCTTGTTAGCTACTAATCTTGGCCACATGACCTGATCAAAACATCAAGAACAAAATAATAAATAAGTAAAGGAATGAAAACAGTCACAAGCTTTTAGGGTACGAAACACAATGACGAAGGGGATGTAACGGAACTATTCGTCATAAGTTAATGTTAAAGTGAGGGCTCACTTCTTCTTGGTTTTCAGCCATGAGGAAGGGAATAGAGGGAGAGAAAGAGAGGAGCGTGAAGAGAAGGAGAAGAGCATGAGAAAGGGTTCATATAGACAAAGCCAAAAGAGATAAAAAGAAAGGCAGAGAGATAAATCATGCTGAGGAATGAAGAGAGAGACTTCTGCAAGTTGGCAAGGAAGCAGCAGTTGCTCTGACGTGATTGGTGATGCGCCTGCCTTCAGTTTTGGTTTCCTTAATTACTTTGAAATATATAACTTTATTTCCTCAATTTACCATCATAAAATCAGAAAGAGAGAGACGGATGTAGAGAGGGAGAGAGAGAGAGCAGAAAACATTGGTCTCTTTGCTGGGATTAAAATTTCCAGTTTGCTGTGTTGAATTTGATATCTTATGTTTTCTCACATACTTGTTGAAGGACCTAATTAAGGAGGTGCAGATGGGAGTGGGTCCATGACCGAAGATACTTAAAATTTTATGAATAATATTACTCTACACTTTTGCTGACATGGGAATTGGGATGTTAACAATTGAATACTATTTGTTGGGCCAATTTGTATTTCATAAGAACTTTCCAGTTTATCATAGACACATTATCAATATTAATGGTTCCAGGCATTTCTGCTCTCTTACCCAATAGGATGGTCACTGAATGACTGTATGAACAGCATGTCATTCGCTAGCTAGGGATTAGAGGAGCACCGCCCAGCCTATCCTTGTGCAGTTGTTTGATCATTTTGTCAAAAAATAAGTTCTAGCCAGATATAATTAAAGGTCAATGGATCCAGGAGTTTTTTCTATTTTTTATTTTTTCGTTTGGATCACGTTACTTTACTTTTTTTTTTTTTCTCGTGCTTCTATATTTAGTTTTTATCTTAAGTTTATTTTTCTGTTAATTTTTTGAACTAAATATGTTAAATCGCATCATTAGCTTTACATAATTATTACACAAGTCAACCTTCCTTTTGTGCCTATCGTTCTTCAACTGGTCAATGACCTCTTGAATGAAGGAGGGATACTAATATCAGTTGATCCACAGCTCATCGGCAATAAAAATATTTTTTTTATTGAAAATATTTTTTATGGATTTAAATTTATTTTTATGATAGTAAATAAATTTTGAGTGCAAAATAAAATATTTGTCGTATTTTTTAAAATTATCAAGAGAGTTTTACTTAAATTTTTAAACTTTTGCATAGTACTATATATAACACCTCAAAAGAGTCTATTATGATTTACATATATCTTGTTATAACCTAAATTTTAGGTTATATATTTTCCTTCAATTTAATCCCTTTTAGGTTTTTATTTTTTATTATCCTCTTTGTTTTATTTGTTTTTTATTTTTATTTTATTTCATTTTAGTATTTACCAAGAAAAAGGAAAAAAATCAAAAATACAAAAAAAAATTACATTAGGAGCATGATTGAATAAAATAGAACTGAAATTAAAGCAATTGAAATTACAAGATATAGGGAATCAATTAAAAAAATTAAAAATACAAAGACTACAATGGCACACCCAAACAATACAATCGAAAGAAAACTAATCTTGCAAAGACCAAAATTGACACTAGACGCGAAGGACATAAGCTATTCAGGATCACCCAAACTACCTATCGTCCGAATCTTCCTAACAAACTCCAACATGCATTCTTCAATCCTCCCCCTCTAGTACTATTCATTGTCTTCAAAGAAGACAATAGACTAGAGGGACAAACTTACTCTTAGCTAGCATTTGTATTAACCAAGAATCACGCTGCACGCACATTGTAATTACATTTTTTATTTTTGGCTTTGTGCATAAAGAGAAAAAAATCATTGGAGCTTGGATTTTTTAAATTCTAGTGAGAGAGGCTAGGATGAGTCGAGAATCGATCCTAGGGTTGATGAGGGAGCTTTGAGTATAAATAGGGGTTGATTAGGGAGAATAAGAGGAGGCAGTGAGAGCAATTATGGAAAATTTCAAAGCGAAATTTCAAAGAAAAAGGCAAATAAGGATAGGAAAAAAAAAAAAAAAGAGGACTATTGAATTTCTGGGATTTGAGAGAAGAATTTATGGGTTTGGGTTTTTTGGGTTTCAAAAAAAAGAACAGTTTTAGGTTTAAAAGAGGAATTCAGAGAGGATTTTTGAGGTTTTTTATATTAAGGTTTCGGCTAGGATTTCAAGCAAAAGGGATTCTAGGTTGCTTCTTGTTTTGGGTTTTACTAAACGAACTCTAGGTTGCCTAGTTTTCATAATAACGATTACTGGGTTTACAAAGGTTGACTATAGGTTCATGAAGGGGGAAATCTCCATTGATTGAAGCAAGGACAATCACCCGCTGTAAATCACCCACACCAAGCTAAGCTCTACCAATTGAATACCCAAGTAAAATGCTTTGCCTCCTTCATGAATTAATATTTTGAATCAATTTTCAATTTTTAATACATACTTTTTATTTTATACCTAATTTAGATTTATTATTTTGAATATTTGAGTTTCTTACATTTATTTATTTACCTCGGCAATGTTTAGTTTTTTAGGCTTTATTTCGATAATTAGATTAGGCGATTAATATATGGATGAGTTGTCGAGTCTCTTAATTTTTAAGAATTGATGACGAATCCCCACCAACAAAAAATATAAAAAATGATAAAATGATAAGAGAGAGAAAAAAACATTAAAAAAAAGAGAGAAAAGAACAAAAGAAAAATAGAGAAAATGTTAAGTGAAAATAAACAAAGTTTTCAATGTAATAGGGATTAATATTAACTCAAATCAATCATATTTAATAATTAGGTCATTCGTCAATATACCAGTTATGTCGAGACTTTAACCGAATGCGGTGTTGAATTGATGAGAGTCGATACAACAAAGTTCAACGATCGATTCAATATGATGCTACAAACCAAAAAAATAAAAAATAAAAATCAATTGACTTAGGAAAGAAAACCGAAATCTTGATTGCAAGTTAATTTTGGCAAAAGAAAATAAATAAATAAAAATTACGAGTTAAAATTTAGGACTAAATTAGATATGATACCTTTCCTAGGAAAGAGTATCTTTAGGTAATTGATATTTTTACAAAGGCATAATCAATTCCTTATTTTAAAATCTCCGAACTAATGTACTGTTTTAGATTCATAGTCACATTTAATACTAGCTAGATGGCGACTCCGAAATTAATAATAGCTCATATCCCTAAACAAACAAAATTTTCAATCAATAAGTAATCATAATAATATTTTCTAGAGTCTTGTAAAATTCGGATGATGACATATTTATTTAAGTTTCTTAATTTGACCCAAAAGTAGAAATATAAATTTTGTTAATATTTTTATTTTACGGCTTTTATAGTTTTTTTTTTAATTTCATTAAAAAAAGATAGTGGAATGACAAGATTAAGACGAAGAAAGTAAGATTATATTATGTAACAATCATGTGGGATTAACAATGCAATTTAATACTCTTAACTCACGAAAGTTAACGGAGCCACGAACTTAAGAGAGAATCAAACATGAACTGATAATAAAGTTGAAGGAAAGAAAATGTTTCATTTACAATTTTAGCCAAATTATATTACAGGGCACAATGCCGGCACAAATTAGTTGGTTTGCATGCCAAAATGAATAATAAAGGACATTAAACAATCACTGCTGTAATTCTGTCGTCTAATGGATATTATTTAGAAATAGAATATGACAATGGAACAGCATCTAACCTAACCCCATACATCAAAAGTTTTAATTTTTAATATTTGAAATTAGTATATCCCACGATCATCTACTAACCTCAATCAAATACAAGTATTTGATTATTTAGACTATCCTATTCAAACAGCAACAAACTGATCAGGACCCTATCTATATTAAATACTATAGCATTTACATTCATTCCTGCAAGTGGGTTGGATTTGATAAGCTTCTATGGCACTCATATGAATCCATGAAAAAACATTTCCAGCACACTAGACAGCAGGAACACTCCTGTTATCCTTTACGTCTCAGCAATTCATTAGAGTCACAAACAGTAGTAAATAAACAAATAAAATTGCCGCGTTGAAAAGTTAACACACTATCAGAATTTCGTTAAATAACAATAAAAATTAGTGATGGACAGATGCTCGTCGCTAAATAGAAAGCAAATAGCGACATATTAGCGACTATTTGAATCAATGAAGGAATAAAAATGGAATATTGACGGTTTATTAGTGGTGGACACTAATCCGTCATTAAATTTGATGGTAAAATCTTTTCGCGACTTTTAGAGACAATTTAATGATGGATTTGCCAAAAAAAAAAATGACGGAATAGCAAATCCGTCGTTATTTTCAATTTCACAATTTAGCGATAGATATTCGATCGCTAAAGGACACATTCTTTACAATTTAGCGACAGGAAAATCCATCACTAAAAGTGAGAATTTGGGTAAAATTGGACGAAAAAACAGCCCAATTTATGACGATTTAGCAACGGATTTTCTAGAAAAAACAACAATGAAATAGCAAATCTATCGCTGTTTTCAATATCATGATTGAGTGACGGATATTCCATTGATAAAAGACCCATTCCTCGCAAATTAGCGACGAAAAATATGTCTCTAAAGGTGAGAATTTGAGCAAATTTGGGCGAGACTTTTTGAAAGATAAAACAATCCATTTTGAGACAAATTAGCGAGGGGATCACGTACATCACTTTTTTCTAATCCCTAATTAAACCTCCTTCTTCTTCCTACTCCTCCATTTTCTTCTCCCTCTCGTCCTTCAGCCAACGAGTTGTCGGTCTCCTACCCTTTTCAAACCACCACCAAACCGCACTCCTCAACTCCCAATTAATCCACACGGACTCCAAATCCTTCTCTCCTAAAAAACCCAACCTTTTTCATTCCATCATCTAAGTGTAATGCTAACCAAATTAAGTAAACTTTTTCTCTTTAGTTTTCTTAATTAAAGTTAGCTATTTTTAGCTTAATTTTAAGTTTAATTCTATGATTTATAATTCTATGCATATTTAATTGTTATTTTATTGATTTGTTTGCTA